TTCCTTTAGAGAAAGTTGCTCTGTTCAAGGCACGTCCGTCTTTCTTTGGCTTGACACTTCTCCAGCCCCGCGTGTGTTAAACCCATAGACTACACCAAATGAACGGCTGATGTAATGCTGACCACATCACCCACCATGTACCTAGCGGTCTATAAAGTTTGAGTCTAGCCCTATATGCCCAATAAGCCTGGAGGTGTGGGAAAGTGTCTGTTATAACAAATGAAGATAAACAATGAAGGAAATAAAGTGAACAGTAAAAAAAATGTCAACGCCTCTAGCACCACGATGCACATAATCCTAGACTCGTTGTTGTATAGACCAAATTGAGGATATGGTCAATGTGGTACCGAGAACCGACTGTCAAGAAAGCAATGGCAAACTACTGGACGTAAATTTGCTTAGAAAAAACCACAACAGCCAGAAAGTGCTGTTGTTTTTTCTGCAACGTCCTGTAAGGATACGCAACTAATTTAATTAAATGAAATACATGGCTAAACGGTGGAAAGAAGTCTCCGGGATTTGTATCTGTTTGATTCTCGTTTTTGAGATGGTAATCCCTCAGACTGCAATCATGGGGAGTGGAGGTGGAGGGGTGGGGGACTGACATCAGTTGTTGATACCAGTTGGAAATGTCGCTAAATCTCTGGTCTTTCTGTGGTGGTCTTTCTGTGATGTTTCAAGTAGTTGTTTGTTGAAGATTAAGTTATTTTTGGGTATAAAGTCGGCGGGATCAAAGGATGTTGCGGTGTTAGAAATAATGGATTAAGGAGGGAGAAGTTGGGCAACACGAAGATGTGTGTAATTTAGAAATATACAATTGCATGTGATCAAAGAAAGGCGGATTGTATTCTATAAGTGTGGTTTTTCCCTCTTAGAGAGAATGCCTTGCGGCTCCATGCAATGCAAGGCATACGTTGAAAGAGGAGAAGGACGTAGAGCACGGGGTAGACCAAGAACGAGATGGAAAGATACCATCAGAGAGACTGCAGCAGGTCTATAGTTGAAATGGCCAGAAGAGCAAAAAAGCAGAACCTTGTATCTCTGCCGACATCAGAAGTGGTAAAAGAGGAGGAGAAGAAGAAGAAGAAAAACAAAAGAAAGAAAGGCTGAGGTTAAGGGTTAAAAAAGGGGATAGAGAGAGTAAGAGAAAGAGAAAATGAATTAACGAAAAAAGAATCTCTTTTCTTTATTGATTTATTTTTTTTATTTTTTTTAAATTTTGGCATAGGGTATCAAATTAGACAGACATAATCATCTTCCAGAAAGCAACTGTATTTTTATTTACACCATATGTAATGTTTGTAACATTGTACATAGAATGGACATAAAGTAAAAAACACACACACACACAGTCGTGGATGGTTAATGCATATATTCAAATACACCTACATACACACACACTCATATATACACAAGTACACACACACACATAAATACATACACACGTGCATACATACATCCCACACATGCATCCTTCTGCTTCTCTGTCTGTCTGTCTGTCTGTCTGTCTGTCTGTCTGTCTGTCTGTCTGTCTGTCTGTCTGTCTGTCTGTCTGTCTGTCTGTCTGTCTGTCTGTCTGTCTGTCTGTCTGTCTGTCTGTCTGTCTGTCTGTCTGTCTGTCTGACTGCCTATCTGTCTGTCTGTTTGTCTGCCTGCCTGTCCGTCTGCCTGCCTGTCTGTCTGTCTGTCTGTCTGTCTGTCTGTCTGCCCGTCTGTCTGTCTGTCTGTCTGTCTGTCTGTCTGTCTGTCTGTCTGTCTGTCTGTCTGTCTGTCTGTCTGTCTGCCTGCCTGCCTGCCTGCCTGTCTGTCTGTCTGTCTGTCTGTCTGTCTGTCTGTCTGTCTGTCTGTCTGTCTGTCTGTCTGTCTGTCTGTCTGTCTGTCTGTCTGTCTGTCTGTCTGTCTGCCCCTTTCTCCATCTTTCTCTAATATTCCAAATGTGTTGTCCTTCCATCTGTTTCGCTAGCCCGTTCTCTTCACCCCTCTTCTTATCATCCTGCAGAGATATTTAGTTTATAGGAGACGCTACAGCGTCCCTGCAGATTCAAACTGTCACTATGAGAAGTCACAGCTGGACAGTTTCAGAAACATATGGTCTTGTCTGTCAACGTGATGTTTAGGACTGTCTGCAGCTGAGAGTCCAGAATAGAGAGATTACGTAATCGACGTTTAACCAAGACGCCTTGGAGATTAGCATCTACTTTACTGTCAATGGGAAGCTGAATTATTTGGTTGATTCATTGGTTGGGGAGTTTGTTCGTTTGCTGGTTAAATGGTTACTTATTTGATTAGGTGTGTGGTTAGTTGGTTGGTTAATTGGCTAATTTGCCTGTTTGGCTGCTTCCTTGCTGGCTTGGTTAATTTGGTGGATTGTTGGCTTTTTGTTTGGGAGCTGTTTGGTCTCGAGATGTGGTGTCCGCCTCGAGTGCTGGAGGTCCAAGGTTCATGCCCTTGTGAGGGCTAGGATATTTTCACCTGGACTCCTAGTAATTTCCCCTGGTCTCTGGGTAGTAAGATCGGACACCCGTGTGTATTGTTGCGAAACAGAAAAGAGTAGTATAACGGCGCTGCCCGGGAAAAATTTTGAGTTTAAAATCTACCCAATGTATTTCAGAAACCTCGCCGGTGCAACGGAGTTGAGACTCTTTGGGTTTAGGCTTGAAATTAGAAGTAAAACGGAGCACTTGTGGGTTACACCCATGTGACATTTTGTTGATCCGTGAAACAAATATAGACGTGTGAGATGTTGGTGATATGGTTGGTCGATTGGCTGACTAGTAAGATATACCTTCTCTAGGCTGTATTTTCCTCTATAAACCGGATGCACGGCGGCGTCCGTGGCTTAGGCTTTGCGAGTCCGACTCGTAATTATAACGTACCGCGATTCGAAACCACTGCTGGCAGCGTGGATTTTTATCGTGGTATGGGGCGTCGCGGGCCCTCTTCTTAATAAGAAGAAATAGAAGAAGAAGGGAAAAAGAGAGAGTGAAAAGATGGTATAGCAGTAGCTGAAGGAATAGAATAATTGTTCTATTGATAATATCGATGAGAATGATAATGTTTACCTTGCGCTCTGATGGTCCTGTGTTCGTTTCAGATATGGTTCAAGGGTGCAGCTTTTTAGAGACATGTAGGGATCGTCATTGGCCTACGGAGTTCGTGTTTTGTACGGCAGACGGCTAGTCTCTCTGTTCCGCAGGTAGATACTGAGCCCTATGGGATAGAACCCGGTGAAACGAATCGATCCTCTTTCCTTTCACTCTAACTTGTGAACTAGCTAAAACAGCTTTTCAGAAGAAAAAAAAAAGCTTATTTTGCCCTCTTCTTCTTCTTCTGCTGTTGCTACATTTTTTTTCACTATGGCGGTTATTGTCTGTAAACTTCAGCGGACAATTCGTTTTGTTCGTCCACGTCTTGACTGTGATCTTGTTCTGGAACTTGAATTTTGCATGCAGATCCGTTTTACACATTAGGCTTACTCCTATGCAGAATTTTCGTTCCTCACGTCTCAGGCAAATGCACTCGAGGGAAAATCGCTAATTAATCGCCTTTTACGGCATGCTTGTTATTGAGGCAGTGGGTCTATTCTTTCCTCTGGAATCCACACATGGAGGAGGAGGAGGAGGAGGAAGAAGAAGATGAAGAAGAAGAAGAAAAAAAGAAGAAGAAGAAGAAGAAGAAGAAGAAGAAGAAGAAGAAGAAGAAGAAGAAGAAGAAGAAGAAGAAGAAGAAGAAGAAGAAGAAGAAGAAGAAGAAGAAGAAGAAGAAGAAGAAGAAGAAGAAGAAGAAGAAGAAGAAGAAGAAGAAGAAGAAGACAAATAACTTATGTAAAAAGAAGATTAAATCGATTATTTTCATCTTGGTGCAGACATTTTCTGAAGACTGTAAAGGACGTAGCTGACTCCAGTCCAGACATGTAGTTATAGCCGCATTTTGATAAAAACCTGACCCACAACTTTGGACCAGTGCAATCAAACTCGCATTAGAGTTATGCACAGTGTTTGCGCACTTGGGCCAGACTGCAGTTTTAAGACATTTGGCTCCCGAAGATAACATGTTTATATTCAGGTTAACCTTCAGTGTCCCGAAAATCAGCCACATTTCTGTCAGATTTAGATCGGTCGTGCAGAAACGAAAGGGCCAGGCTGGAATGTTGTGTTTTAATACAAGACCCATATGGAAGACAGTTTAAATCAGGGCTTTAAAGATGTTTTATGTTGGTGACGTTGCAGAACTAACTCCAGCATTTTTAGGCCGTTTTGGTCTTTTTAGGCAAATTTACGTTCAGTAGTTTGCCATTGGTTGCTGAATTGTCAGCTCTCGGTACCACTGTCGAAACCAATGCAAAACAGTCTGCTGGTAAATTGCCTGCAGCTAGGATCAAGCTCTGCACCTCGGCATTACGATGCGCGTTCTCAACTCCTAAGCCACTGACGCAGACTATATTGGTGACAGATTTTAAAAAAAAATGCAAACGTACTTACTCGACACAGTAATTCAGACTACTAGCAACCCAGAGGTTAAACAAGCCACTTATAAGAGATACATACACTTACGCGCCACGTTCACTCGATACACCTTTACGCTGTAGCCCACACTCCAGTGTGTCACGACACACAGTTTTGAGAGCTCTGATTTAAATACTATAAATATTTGGGGGGGGGGGGGGGGGGGTGGTTATCTCATGTGCTTGATAAATAAATGGAAGCTAGGGAAGAAAACGCGGAGACAGTCTACATTCTTTGATCATGGACTTTTGTCTTGTTCCAGAAATTGAGTTTTGTGTGTCCATCCGTTTTACACATCTTGCTTTTTGGCTCCCTGCCTCTCAGTCAAATAAAGACAGACTTCGAGGGAAACATCCCTAATATGTTGCTTGTATGGGAGCAGTGGGTCCCTCACCCCCACCCCTCCCAGCCCACAATGGGACCTAAGAGCTCACAATAGGACCCAAGAGTCCACAGGTAGACTCAAGAGTCCACAATGGGGTCCAAGAGTCAACAATGGGACACAAGAGCCCACAATGGGACACAAGAGCCCACAATGGGACACAAGAGCCCACAATGGGACCCAAGAGCCCACAATGGGACCTAAGAGCCCACAATGGGACCCAAGAGCCCACAATGGGACACAAGAGCCCACAATGGGACACAAGAGCCCACAATGGGACACAAGAGCACACAATGGGACACAAGAGCCCACAATGGGACCCAAGAGCCCACAATGGGACACAAGAGCCCACAATGGGACACAAGAGCCCACAATTGGACACAAGAGCCCACAATGGAACACAAGAGCCCACAATGGGACACAAGAGCCCACAATGGGACACAAGAGCCCACAATGGGACACAAGAGCCCACAATGGGACACAAGAGCCCACAATGGGACCCAAGAGCCCACAATGGGACACAAGAGCCCACAATGGGACACAAGAGCCCACAATGGGACACAAGAGCTCACAATGGGATACAAGAGCCCACAATAGGACACAAGAGCCCACAATAGGACACAAGAGCCCACAATGGGATCCTAGAGCCCACAATGGGACACAGGAGTCCACAATGGGACCCAAAAGCTAACAATGGGACCCAAGAGCCCACACATTACCCAAGAGTTCACAATGGGACCCAAGAGCGCACAATGGGACCTAAGAGCCCACAATGGGACCTAAGAGCCCCCAGTGGGACCCGAGAGCCCACAATGGGACCTAAGAGCCCACAATGGGACCGAGGAGCCCACAATGGGGCACAAGAGCCCACAATAGGACCCAAGAGCTCACAATGGGACCTAAGAGCCCACAATGGGACCCAAGAGCCCACAATAGGACCCAAGAGCTCACAATGGGACCTAAGAGCCCACAATGGGACACAAGAGCCCACAATGGGACACAAGAGCCCACAATGGAACCCAAGAGCCCACAGAAAGACCCTAGAGCCCACATGGGGACCCAAGAGTCCACACGGGGAAAACAGCATTCATATGTGATCTTCTTATGTTATGTTAGGTTATAACAATCGACGTCACTGCACTTAGCGCATTCCCATGTGTGCTCAGTCCTCCAATGCAGCAGCCACTGTTAGGCACTTCTACTAATTTTTCCTAGGGTTAAATTTGTCTCCTGTCTCGACCTCGAATGCGGCATAGACGAGCTTCACCATACTTTACTCCCATGTCACAAAGTTGTGTTAGTCTCAAAGATTCGTCATTATCCACTAGCCCAGTCCTTACAGCGGTGACGATATTTGCTCTGTCCTGGCTTCTTCCCACACGCGTTGGTGCATTGCTTGCCAGCTGGTCGGCTCGCTTATTACCTTTACGCCCTCATGACCAGGTGTGTAGATCCAGGTGAAGCCGGTTAAGTGGGATCCGAGAGCCCACAATGGGACCTAAGAGCCCACAATGGGACCCAAGAGCCCACAATGGGGCACAAGAGCCCACAATGGGACCCAAGAGCCCACAATGGGGCACAAGAGCCCACAATAGGACCCAAGAGCCCACAATGGGGCACAAGAGCCCACAATGGGACCCAAGAGCCCACAATAGGACCCAAGAGCCCACAATGGGACCCAAGAGCCCACAATAGGACCCAAGAGCCCACAATGGGACCCAAGAGCCCACAATGGGGCACAAGAGCCCACAATGGGACCCAAGAGCCCACAATAGGACCCAAGAGCCCACAATGGGACCCAAGAGCCCACAATGGGGCACAAGAGCCCACAATGGGACCCAAGAGCCCACAATAGGACCCAAGAGCCCACAATGGGACCCAAGAGCCCACAATGGGGCACAAGAGCCCACAATGGGACCCAAGAGCCCCACAATAGGACCCAAGAGCCCACAATGGGACCCAAGAGCCCACAATGGGGCACAAGAGCCCACAATGGGACCCAAGAGCCCACAATGGGACACAAGAGCCCACAATGGGACCCAAGAGCCCACAATAGGACCCAAGAGCCCACAATGGGACCCAAGAGCCCACAATGGGACACAAGAGCCCACAATAGGACCCAAGAGCCCACAATGGGGCACAAGAGCCCACAATGGGACCCAAGAGCCCACAATGGGGCACAAGAGCCCACAATGGGACCCAAGAGCCCACAATGGGGCACAAGAGCCCACAATGGGACCCAAGAGCCCACAATGGGGCACAAGAGCCCACAATAGGACCCAAGAGCTCACAATGGGACCTAAGAGCCCACAATGGGACCCAAGAGCCCACAATGGGACACAAGAGCCCACAGAAAGACCCTAGAGCCCACATGGGGCACAAGAGCCCACAATGGGACCCAAGAGCCCACAATGGGACACAAGAGCCCACAGAAAGACCCTAGAGCCCACATGGGGCACAAGAGCCCACAATGGGACCCAAGAGCCCACAATAGGACCCAAGAGCCCACAATGGGACCCAAGAGCCCACAATGGGACCCAAGAGCCCACAATGGGACCCAAGAGCCCACAATGGGACCTAAGAGCCCACAATGGGACCTAAGAGCCCACAATGGGACACAAGAGCCCACAATGGGACCTAAGAGCCCACAATGGGACCCAAGAGCCCACAATGGGACACAAGAGCCCACAATGGGACCGAGGAGCCCACAATGGGACACAAGAGCCCACAATGGGACCCAAGAGCCCACAATGGGACACAAGAGCTCACAATGGGACCTAAGAGCCCACAATGGGACCTAAGAGCCCACAATGGGACACAAGAGCCCACAATGGAACCCAAGAGCCCAAAGAAAGACCCTAGAGCCCACATGGGGACCCAAGAGTCCACACGGGGAAAACAGCATTCATATGTGATCTTCTTATGTTATGTTAGGTTATAACAATCGACGTCACTGCACTTAGCGCATTCCCATGTGTGCTCAGTCCTACGATGCAGCAGCCACTGTTAGGCACTTCTACTAATTTTTCCTAGGGTTAAATTTGTCTCCTGTCTCGACTTCGAATGCGGCATAGACGAGCTTCACCATACTTTACTCCCATGTCACACAGTTGTGTTAGTCTCAAAGATTCGTCATTATCCACTAGCCCAGTCCGTACAGCGTTGACGATATTTGCTCTGTCCTGGCTTCTACCCACACTCGTTGGTGCATTGCTTGCCAGCTGGTCGGCTCGCTTATTACCTTTACGCCCTCATGACCAGGTGTGTAGATCCAGGTGAAGCCGGTTAAGTGCGATTTTCTCATGCTTTCTACCCATTCAGGGCGCATACCATGATATTCATTGCTGCCAGTCTGCTGCTTACCTGCCCACTGTATCCAAGTCAGTTTACACGTCTTCATTTCCCTTTCTTGTGTCTTTCCCAAAGTTTTCTTGCGTTCCACGCATCCTTGTTCTCTCCTGTCCCTATGCTGAATATGGGGAAGTCGACGTGGCAGAGCGGCTAGATGTTCGACACGGATCAGAAGGTCGTGGGGTCGCTCCCTGGCGGAGCCGGACTTTTTTCAAAAATTATTTTGGCTCACAGGTCGACCCAGCCTTGAGTGGGTCCTGGGTGCAGTCCCTGGAAGTGAAGGCGGCCGACGTGATGCTGACTACATCACCCATTTTGTTCCGATTGGTCTAACAAATGCAGATCTAGCCCAATATGCCCTATACGTCTCAAATGAGTTGAAAAGAGTTTTTTTTTAACTTTACTATGCTAAAGTATTGCACAAAGAACAATATTCCATAGCTCTTATGATAACTACCAAAGATTTACAAAGATCTGTACTCTTTTAACAACAACAACAACAACAAAACACGTCATTTGAAATCAACCCCACCTATCGAGATCGCTAGAAAAGCGGCTTAGTTACGTAGGCACAGTGCTCTGCGTTGACTAATCTCTGACCGCATGTTTTCCCTTTAGCCTTGTATGGCTGTATAATAAATACAACAACAACACATGTGACAAAATCAAGCAGGTCAAAACATGACGAGAAAACCTCAGCCAAGTCTCTAGTACAGTGGAGTATTTTTTAGATATTTGTAATCTTGCTCGCTTGCTTGTTTGTTGTACCCCACCAGGACATCACACAAGCGATAAGTACCCGATGACACAAAGTGCCACCATGCGGATGAGGATCTCCCGTAGAGAGGTCCCAGAAACCCTTTTCAGTTGTTATGGCCACAAATGTGGCCTAGCTATATTCAGATCTCCCCGGTAAAAGCTAGGGTGGGGCTTCAAATAACGAAAAATTGCAACCCACATCAAGGGGATGGCAATGATTTTAATACATCTGTAATCATGCTTGGTCTCTTTTCTCTTTAAAATACTCAAGCTGCGAAAACTGCAGAAAGATATGATTTTTTTTTTCTTTTAATTTTTTCTTCTTCTGCATTCGCAGAGAGGTTGTCGAGATGCGGTTTACAGTTAGGCTGTGATTTCTCCGCCTTTCGGTTCACCGCATCCTAATTTGCAGGTCACTTAAAATACACCAGCTTCGAAACCATTCGGCCGACTTCTGCAGACCTCTGTTTCCCCTTTTAGCCTTCCCAGTTGGTTTCACTGCACAACCTTACTGTAATACTGTCATCTTAGTTACCTAGACCAGTGTTTTCCAAACTGTTCTTAGTCGCGGCGCCTGTTTTTTCCAGGTAAAATTGTTCCACGACGCCCTAACCTGAGTTAAAGCATGACTATGTGTATGTAACACACACACACAAGCACACCACGCACGCATGCACGCGCGCGCGCACACACACACAAACACACACAAATTTAATGTATTTTCGAATATTTCATAGCGCTCCTGTGAATAAGTGGCGGCTACCCGGGGCGCTGGGGCACGCAGTGTGGGAATCACTGTCCTAGATCACGGAGGAGGGGGGGGGGGAGTGCCGCCCGTCAGGTCAGTCCAGGGTAGCCCTGATTTCAAATTCAACCCCCTTCAATCAATCAGGTGTCGTCTTCACAGTGAAGGTTGCCTGCAATTTGATCACCAACACCCCCTGTCTATTGACCTGGTTTTATACTCTCTCAGACTGCTTCTCGACTGTCACTTCATGTTGTCCTCCCACTTGTATCGTTGTCCACCTCTTGCTCTCTTGCCTTTTCCACTTTTGCCTCCAATATGGTTTTTAAAAGCGTGTTATGTCTCTTAATGTGGCCACAGTATTTCAATTGTCTCTTGTTTCAGTTATTTCCATTTGTTGTCTTTCCAGACCTCTATACTGAACTGTTTTCCCCCCCCCCCCCCCCCCCCCACATGAAATACGAACTATTCTTCTGTTTACCTACATTTCCAGAGACTCAAGTCAATTTTTAGCTGCTTGTTCACTGACCACGTTTCTGCACCGTATAGCAGGACGGGGTATACACTGCATGGTCAGTTGCGTATCCTTTACAGGACGTTGCAGAACCAACCCCAGCAGCCCCTGGCTATTGTGTGGTTTCTCTAGGCAAACGTCTAATTGTTTGCCATTGCTTTCTGGACGGTTGGCTCCCTGATACCACTGTCGAAACCAACGCACGGCGCATGGCCCGCAGCTGGGATCAAACCCTGCATCCCGGCATTACGAAGCGTTCGCATCGACTTGGCCACAGAGCCGATGGGTATACACTACACTTGACAATTCTCATTTTTAGTGTGTTGTTTATCTCTCTAGCTGTCAGTAATTTGGGCATCTTATTGAAAACAGTTTTAGCCATTCTTATTTTCATTTTTGATTTTAACCCCCATACCGAGGATTCGTTCCTGTGCCTCCTGCATGAGAGGCCCGAGTTCTACACCACTCGACCAGCCCTCCTCTTTGATTAATGACAAGAGTCGTAAATAAAAACAGCGGGAAATGATACTGTCTGTTTTGAAATAAACTGCAAGAATAAGTTATGCATGGTTTGTAATCCTAGCAAAACACACTTTGTAGTTTTCCGATCAAGATCTGGACAAGCCAGAGTTCTAAACCACTCGACCAGCTCCCTTTGTCTAAAAGACAAGAGTTTTATAGAAAAACAGCGGGAAACGATACTCTTTGAAATAATAAACTACCAGCAAAAGTTATGCATGATGTGTTTTCCTAGCAAAACACACTTTGTAGTTTTCCGATCAAGATCTGGACAAGCCAGAGAATATTTTTGGACCAAACAGAAACTGTCCTGCAAAAGACTCATCAATATTTAGAACGGGACTCATCAATATTTAGAACGGGACTCATCAATATTTAGAACGGGACAGTGACCTGTTATCCAGGTCGTTAGATAAAAGAAGCGCTATTTTTACCCGACAACACTCCGACTGTATTGTGTATTATTTTAGTTCAAGCGTTATCTGCTTCCTGCGAGCCGTCGTGGTGTAACGGTTAGACTCTCAGCTGCAGGTCAGAACGTCGTGGGTTCGAGTACGAAAGGAAGCTAATCTTTCTCAAATAATGCCCTTGGCTCTCATGTGGACACAGTCTTAAGTGGGTACTAGGGGAAGTCCTGGGAAGTAAAGGCGGCCGGTGTAATGTTGACTACATCACTCACGGAGTTCCGAACGGTCTATAAAATATAGGTCTGGCACTTTATACATAGGACTTTTTTTGTTAAATGACCTTGACTCCCAGGTCGACCCAGCCTTGAGTGAGTACCGGGTGCAGTCCCGGGAAGGGGAGGCGGCCGGTGGAATGCTGACCACATCACCTATCTTGGGCCGTTTGGTCTACACAAATATAGGTTTAGTCCTATTTGCCCTATATGCAAACAGGCGTTAAAAAGGGTCCTTTACATTACTTGTCATTTATACCTATATGAGGGGATCTCTGTGGCGAAGTGCTCAAGCTCTGGAGGTCGTGAGCTCGTTCAGTTCACGGCTGCAATTTTTACGAAAATTTCTAGGGATCGTCACTGAAGCTACGGAGTTCGTCCTCTGTGCGGCACTCTCGGCAGGCGGCTAGCCATTCTGTATAGCGAGACCGAGCCATAAAGGATAACACCCGGTGCTATGAATTCGATCCTTTCGACTTTAACCTTAAGACGTTAGAAATAAGGTTCTGGAGATGTGGATCTACAGAATAGTGTGTCGTATTTTATGAGACAAATACAGTAATAACAGGTTTGGGGAGACTAGGAAAGAAATTAGAGTTGTCGAAAGAAATAACAAACGCATTCATCGCCATTAGCAGAAATCAACTCACATATCAAGAAGAAATACGGGAACTGTTAAAAGAACCAACTAACAGTAAACAGTCAGAGAAACCCGTCAGCGGACTCAAAGAACAATAACATACATATTTTCAGCTTTCTTCTTCTTCTTCTTTGCGCTTGGTTTTGTATGCTAAGGTCGGACTGTTTGGTGGCCTGCTTCTATGAACTTGCATGTCAGTTGCAGGTCCGTCAACAAGATAGGAAGCACTGTAACCAACTTCCTATGGAAACAACCTCTGGGTGACTTCTTTATCGGGAGGAATTCCATAGAAATTTGACTGAAAAGCTTAAGTAAATGGGGAAGCAGAAAAACGTGCACAAAACAACACAAATAACGTAACGTTTCGGCTGGGCAGCCTTTGTCAAACGTGAAGTGAATTACACAAAAATAACAACAAGGAGAGGAGAGTATACATCAGAGTATATATCGGAAGACTGCGCAAAGGAATTCACCGTGTGAAATGACCTCAATTGTAATAACATAACGTAATTTCAAAGTAAAATAGTAGGTGCTTTATTAATATTCTACCCCCTAGATGACGTCACAGGACAGTCCAACAATATAGAGTGTGGTAAGACTGGGTTTTCCGGATTTATGATGCTTTTAACGACCCCAAAACATCTAGAACTGGCTCTTACCTCAATCTACCTACGTCCCACGAGAGAGAGTTCAGTATATTTCCCACGACTGCAGGCAACCTAGGTCCCACTATT